CTATTCAACCAAATGGGTGAGAAGATCAAACACATCACGTACTTTATTTTATATTATTGTTGAGCTGCTCCCATACTTAAATTCTTCGCTAACTCGTCACTTAAAAATCATCATATCATCACGCGGTCAAACCTACCTGCCTTTATTGAGAGTGATCACACGCGAGGCGGTCTGGCGGAGTCAAAACAAGCGACACGAGCCACTCGAGGAACAGAGAACGATCGCATTCGTGAGACTGCTGCGGATACTTGAAGCTGTCGGTCCCGCTGGCCGGCTGTCGGATTTGACCAACGGGATTGGACGGCGATCACGCACCCCCACACGGCACCGCTTCTGTGGGACCCGATCCCCATTTGGACTCGTCGACAGAAACGAGGGTCGCCTCGCATCTGTGGGCCCATCCTTCCTCCGTGACAGAAGTAATCGTGCGGGTTACGAGCCGTCCTTTCTGCCGTCATGACGTCACCTCCGCCGCCCTCAATCCATGCCACGTATTGAATCTGCCCGACCCCGTTACTCGAGCCATGTTAGTGTGAATGCTAAACCGGTCGCATTAGCAGCCCTAACCCTAACAAAAACATGTCGTAGGTGAATTGTCGCGTTGGGCGGAGGAAGAATCTGCACGCCACGACGGTCGAATTCTACTGCGAGTCCGCGACCGCTCGCCCACCCTGACGGGAGCGAGCGAGAGAGAGAGAGAGAGAGAGAGAGGAGAGATCGGCCTCGGAGGGCAACACGACAGCTGCGTCCACGTGTCAGCTGGCGGCATTCGGTCCTCATCACTGCCGTCGAAGGATATTTATGGGCGCGGGAGCCGAACCCGGAATAGAGGAAGGGCAACCGCAGTGGCTGCCTCTACTGTCGGGCGGAGAGAATGGCCGTGGCTGTCTTCTCTCGCTTCGGTTGCTGCCTTGCGCTCGGCGTGCTCTTCTCAGGTTCGAACCTTCCTCTCCCTCTTCTGTCCACCATGGACGTCAGCAAGCAGCGATCTCTTCTTCTCGCCGTTTTTCTGCACTCGTGCAGCCGTTTGTCATTGTTGGGAAATTTATGTATGTTTTCTCATAGAACCCTCGTTTTCTTTCGCTGATTCCCTTGGAAATCCCTTGATTTTTGTCGTGAGTGTCTTTGTCCTGGCTCCATCAGTAATTCCTCAGTTAAAGGTGAGATCTTGGGGTTCATATTGCAAGGCGTGGTCATGCCTTCTCCTTTTTCCACACAGATCTGGTGTTATCCTTGTAGATAACCAATCTAAAATATGGATTCAGTCTCCTATACTATCGATTCTTAACATTTTTGTGACCGGTTCTTGGATTCATGAGGTAATTAAGTCATTTGCGGAGCTCTGTTCTGTGGGTTTTCTTGATCTAACCTGCGATACGCCACCGGGGACCTCTCCTTACGGTTCTAGGATATACTCTTAACGCTTCTTCTTGGTATTTTCATATCTTGAAGCACAAAGTCGGATTATTAGTGTTGTGTGTATTGACTCGATCAGAATTCTCTTTTCCAATTAATAGTCTCCTTCAGCATGAAATTTGATCGAATTGTTTGCCATGAAGAGATACAATCAAACATCGTCTAGTTCATGTCCTGTAAGTATGTGGTGCTAAGCCCATTCATCATTGGCTAAGCTTTGTCGTTAAGATTGGTTTCTTCATCGTTAAATTCTTAAATATTCAAGGGGCAATAAGAGTAGCATATTTCGTCTGGCAGCCAACATCCTGAATTTGTTCCATTGAAATCTAATCTAGAGAAAGGGCATTCGATTGCTGCTTAAGACAAACGCTGCTTCAATTTGGAGCATAAGATATAGTATTATCATCGAGTCCATTAAAACAAAGTAGTTCTTCCTTGAGAGCATAGCTTGTGTGTTTTAATTCCATTGTAATTCGACTAAAGGAGACTCTTCTGCAGGGCAAATTCTCCAGACCCTTGGCGTCGGCGTTGGAATCAACTATGGGCAGATAGCCAACAACCTACCATCTCCCACCAGTGTTGTTAAGCTTCTCCAGTCCATCAACATCAGCAGAGTAAAACTCTACGATGCTGACCCTAAAGTGTTAACTGCCTTCGGCAACTCCAGCGTCGACTTTATCATTGCAATCGGCAACGAGAACATCCTGAACATGACCGACCCGACGAAAGCCCAGGAATGGCTTAAACAGAATGTCCAGCCTTACCTTCACCAAACTCAAATAACTTGCGTGACCGTCGGAAATGAGGTTCTGACCACCGGTGACACTGTGTTGATGGAAAACCTTCTCCCAGCGATGCAGTCTGTATATCAAGCTCTTGTTGCCCTCGGATTGGACAAGCAAGTGAACATTTCGTCAGCACATTCCGTTGCCATCTTAGGGAATTCATATCCTCCTTCCTCTGGTTCATTTCGTGAAGATCTTGCGGAGTACATACATCCGCTGGTCAACTTCCATTCTGAAATCAACTCTCCCTTCCTCATCAATGCCTACCCTTTCTTTGCTTACAAAGGGAACCCCGACAGTATTTCCCTGGAGTATGTACTATTTCAGGACAACCCAGGAGTCACTGATCCAAACACGAATTTAACCTATGATAATATGCTGTATGCTCAGATCGATTCGGTCTATGCTGCAATCAAAGCAATGGGTCATACAGACATTGATGTTGCAATATCTGAAACTGGATGGCCTTCCAAAGGAGACCCCGATGAGACTGGGGCAACACTGGAGAATGCTGCAAAGTACAATAGGAATCTGCTGAAGAGAATTGCAATGAACCAAGGCACGCCGATGAAGCCTACGGTGCCCATTAACGTACATGTTTTTGCTCTGTTTAATGAAGATTTAAAACCAGGTGCAACGTCAGAGAGGAACTATGGGCTCTTTTATCCTGATGGAACTCCTGTTTATGATATCGGCTTTCAAGATCACGTCCTGCTATCTTCGCCATCTTCTGCAACACTGATGGTGAGGAAAAGAATTATTTGCAATTCATGATTGGTTTTTTGTTCTATTTCAGTGCTTTACCTAAAAGTTCATATGACTGATGATACATCTTTTCATCTTTCTCGCTTTGCTATTTTGTAGATAATGAATATTTGCACAATGTGTCAAAAGAAATTTCCCTCGGGACTTCAATATCGAAACAATTAATATTCACCATGACTTCATGCTCATCTAGCTTTAGGATAATTGTGTCTATCGACTAGGTTTAATGCTTAATGCAAAGCCCAAGAACATGCAGGTGTGGAAATGGTAGAAAGTAGGAACACTTTCTTTTGTTCTTCCCGTGTGGAATTTCTAAGAAGGGGGGTTTTCCAAAGTTGCTAGCTCTGTTTGATGGGCAAGAAGTAGTGATTGCATGTGGGCAAAATGTTGGTTGAGAATGTGTTTCCAGAGTTGACATAGATTTTCACTTGTCTTGAAAATTCAGGAATGGTGTCTTTTTGGTAGAAAACCTATTCTTGCCTTTTTCTGTACCAAAATGAATGCTCATGCTTCATGTGCAAAATGGAAACATTCATTTGCAAAGAATGCAAACTGATCGTTTCTTTATGTTGCAGGCATGGTCTCGGTTCGGCATCCTTATCTCCGCAATGGTCATGATGATATAAGTTGTTCTCTTCCTTACAATAGTCGGTAGTTGGGAGCATTGATTGATCATAAATTTATCCTGACCTGGAGGTAAAGAAGATATTCTTCTTGTGTTACAGCTTTCTTGACCTGTTCATACATGAATATTAGAGTAAGGCCCTTTTTTTTGTCACATTTGACTTGCAGCAATCATTTGGGGAAGATGCTATCTTCCTTTGATCATATCCTTGTCCCTTTCTTTGCTTTGTAGATATCCATTCAGCAAAAATGAGGTTCGACGTTGATGTCTGAACCCTCTTTGTTAATATTCGACCAGAGTATAAGCAAAGTTTGGCAAGCTGCCGAACTGTGAATGCATCATTTTGGCTTGCTGAAAGCCACATATTCTTGTTGTCTGCGGCCACACGAAAGCTGCATCTTTTGTAGTCCACGGCCCAAGCTTTTCTTGTGATGTTTCCTTTTTGCCTTTCCATATCTTGTGAAAGATCCCCCGTGATTAAAGGTTGATGCTCTTCTGATGTGCTGGGCAATTTATTCTCTCTGAGCTTTTATGGTTGTTTGTGATGCAGATATCAGACATTGATACGGCTTCTGGCTGTTCATGGGTGCGTATTATGGACGATCTCCCGGTGCTTATGCTTTGTTTTCGAATAGATTACTTATAGAGAGAGAGTGTGTGTGTGTGTGTGTGTGTGTTAGATAGATGAGCTTAATTGAGAGAGAGTATTACTTATATATAGTATCTGATTCATTATTGTATAGACAATTTGGTGGGAGTTATAGTGTTCCAAAGTCAGTCACTACCTTTTCTTTTGGTGTCTCTGCTGCTTAATGTGTAAACGTGGACGCTGGATTTTTCGGACCTTCATCTAATTGGATCTGTTTCCGAGTTGAGACAAATTGAAAGAGCAATCGCAACCTCGGATTCATTGGAAAGGGAAGAATAAAAAACGATCATGTGACGTGTGGTGAAGTTTGAATTGGTTTAGACGTTATTAGTTTAGTCTCAAGCATGTTATTAGACGTAAGATTATTGACTTTCACATGGAACAATCGTAAGAAATCATAATTGTGTGTTCTTGGATTTTATTTTTCTTAATTTAGTTGATTTTGTGGAACCTATAACCTATATGTAAATGATCGGTTACCTCGTACGATCCCATAGGACGTAGAATGAAAAGATGTATTAACATTTTATGAGAATTAGTGGAAGCAAGTCTTGTGATTGTATAAAATCATATAAGTCGACGTTTAAGAAAATATGGAGTGAGGGATTAATGGGAGTGAAACTTAATATTATATATGAAGATATTGAAGCAAATACTTTATAGATGTTATAAAATAAAAATGATAAACTTTATAAATTGTAAATGATCAAAGATAATATTACGCAAAAAGTGCCCTCTGTACCATCGACTGTATGTACGATCGAGTCATGAGATGTATTATTAGATGTATAGCTGAAGCTCCAATTGGTTTATACCATCCAAAGGTTCCACAGTGCTTAAATGATTGATGCTTTGGCGTCATAGGTAAATCAACTTATGGCATGCGAAAGTGAGATTGTTTCAGTGATTTTTTCCCTGCGTGTGATGTCACATGATTGCTTCGCTATGGAAGAAGACTTTTCAAATGTTAAGCCTTGCTTAAAAAATACTTAGCTCTTGTAGCTCGATAAAGTCTATAAATATTTTTTTATAGTTTATAAAGAATGTTTGGATATTGGGAGTGATGAGGATAAAAAGAGGAATAACCTTTGTATAGGAACAAATACTAGAAGACCAAAATACGCAGCGGAATAAAATGGAAACACAATCAAACAGAACACCAAGATATACGTGGAAAACCCCTTCAATGTGAAGGGTAAAAATCACGGGGCAAACTAGAGATAATCCACTATGAGAATAATGAATATACAAATCTCAATCTCTTGCCCAAAACCCTAGCAACAACCACAAGAGAATAACTGGGATACAAGAATCACG